ATATATACACTTATGCTTAGAACAAGATATTTACCTAATTTCTGTGTCAGAATTAAAGACCTGCTGTAGCTATGAAGAAAGAGCCTGAATGCATCATTTTCACCTAGAGGAAGATGAGAGACAGAAATCAAACCTGTGCTGTGGGACAGGACGTCGTGCCTTATGTGACTTGTCTGATCCACGTGCTTGAGGAGTGGCTTGACACAGAGCACTTGGAGGACTATTTGAACTTATCAACTCTTATGGGTTTTTACGCCACTGATACTTGTAGTCCTTCCTTACTTTACCATCTTTCTCTTCTACCTGACCATTATTTTCTTACTTATCTATAAGAGGAAGAATGTACTAAAGGAAGCCTACTCACATAACTTATGGGATGGTGCAAGGAAAACAGTGGTGGCCGTGTGGGACGGACACATGGCAGTGTGGCATGGTTATGAAGTTCATGGGATAGAAAAAATACCGGAAGAAGGACCAGTGCTTATAATTTTTTACCACGGAGCTATTCCTATTGATTTCTCTACTTCATGGCTAAAATTTTTATCCTCAAAGGCAGAACCTGCCGAGTAGTAGCTGATCACTTTGTCTTTAAAATTCCAGGGTTTAGCTTATTACTTGATGTATTCTGTGCTCTTCATGGACCAAGAGAAAAATGTGAAACTCTGAGGAGTGGTCACTTGTTGGCTATCTCACCAGGTGGCGTTCAAGAGGCCCCAATGAGCGACAAGACCTACAACGTCGTGTGGGGCAACCGCAAGGGCTTTGCTCAGGTTGTGCTCGATGCAGAAGCGCCCATTATCCCTATTTTTACCCAAAATATTCGAGAAGGATTTAGATCATTCGGAGGAACAAGATTGTTTAGATGGCTTTATGAAAAACTCCACTATCCATTTGCTCCGACGTATGGGGGCTTCCCGGTGAAGTTGCACACGTATTTAGGTGATCCCATTCCCTACGACCCTAAGATAACCGCAGAAGAGTTAGCTGAGAAGACCAAGAATGCTCTTCAAGCTTTGATTGATAAGCACCAAAGAATACCAGGCAGCATTATGAGTGCTTTGTTAGAACGTCTTCATAAAGCAGAAAAGGTCAATTAGAAGGTGATTTAATATTATCCACTGATGTTTGTGGCTGTGGTACTGTCTTTTGAATTTTATAGGTCTTACAAATAGTATTTTTTTTAAAAATCATGTTAATAAGCATCTTTTCTAGAATTTAAATTTATTTTGTCCATTTTGTTTTGCACTCAATTGTGTCAGATTTGATCAGTAACTTGTTACATGCCTAATAATTCAGAAAATGATCCGATTTCATTTGTAAATTCTTGGTAATGTATGATAAACATAGATTCTTAAAATTAAATTTAATAATAACAGTATAGTTTAGGCAAACACTCCTAGATAATGTCTCTGGTGTCTGTATCTGTTGGACAGAGCTAATTTTTAGAGAGAGAGAGAAACTGGGGCTTAGAGTAGTTGATGAGATAGCAGAGAATGCTGTTACCTGCCCCTCTTTCCCTTTACAGCTTTGAGAGCGTCATGTAATGCTTTTGTGCCTCCTTAATTTACTTCTTAAACTCATACTATTGTGAGGGTTTTTTATTGCTTTGCTCTTTCTTTGAGGCAGGGTCTTGTTGAGTCGCTGCCTGCCCAGCTAGGCTCCGGCTTGCCTCTGTGCTGCCTCTACTCCCAGAGTGTTGGGTTGCAGGTGGGCACCACCATTCCTGCCTAGAATGTTGCTTACCTGGTTTGTAGTTATTTCAGTTGACAACTGTCAAGCCAGAATTGTAACTGAATAATTAAATAATGCCCAGATCCTCTAGAGGATGCATATATAGTTTACCCATCAGATGTTCAAATTAGTCCCATAGTATGATGTCCAGCTGCCAAGCACAATGCAAGAGATGTACTGTTTTTCAAACCAAATAAAAAGAATTAGGCAGATTACAATTTCTAATTGTTATTTTTATAATTTATTATATTTTTAACAAGAACCTTTAAACAAGTAATATAGGATGGGTTGTCAGCCCTGTGATACAACATTTAATAGTTCAAGAATAAAAATCACAGTCGCGCTCTGCCTTATGTGCTAGGAGCTGACAATAGGTCGCCGGAAGTGGAGCTGCAGAAGGCTGTGCCCAGCACAGTGCTGTGGCTCATTCTGTCTGACTCTGAAACCAGCTAAGGGCGCTTGTTTTTACAAAATCTTACTTGTGGGGCCGGGAAGATGGCTCAGTAGAATAAGCACTTTCTTGGCAAGCGCAAGGGACTGAGTTCAATCCCCGGTTCTGCAAAAACAAAAATCTTACTTGAACAATGAACTTGTGTGAATACAAAGCCTTCTGAAGGTTACTGGCTTTTGAATTTTCTCCTGGAAAATTAATTTTAAAAAGTATTTAATTCAAAAAGTATCAGAAATCAAATACAGTATCTCCTCTCCTTTTTAGATGTTTAAAATACTTGGGTTTTATACAGATTTTTGTATTACAAATGTAAATTAAGTGTAATGTGTATAAAATTAAACAAAAGTAAAATTGAATTCAAAAAAAAAAAGGAAAAGAAACTCCATTGTTTTTTTTTTGGCAGAACCGGGGATTGAATTTAGGTCCTTGCGCTTGCCAGGGAAGCACTTATTCTACAGAGCCATCTCCCCGGCTCCAAAAACTGGCAGAAGGATTTTTTTTTTTTTTTTTTTTTTGCTCCCAATGCCTTCAGGGCAGGTTTGGCTGGCTTGAGTTGTGGGGATCAACCACAGCAACCTGAGCCTGACTGCTTTGTTGAAGCAGCCACTTAAAGAACTAAGCTAAGGGGCAGGCCCCCAGAAACTCCATTCTTTAGAGGACAGATACTCTCGAATATCACACGTATTAACAGAGTCATGCATCTGGAACTGAAGAAGAGCAGCACAAAGCGAAAGATGATAATTGTCTACAGCGGTCCAGTAACTCTGGGAAACGCAAGTCTTCAGGCTGCTACTCCATCGGTCTTGACCTACCATCTACAGTAGCACAACTCAGTGTTGAGGAATGGTGGGTCATCTGTTTCAGTAGTTCTAAACACAGAAGATAAATAATGTGCACCTATTTTCAGAAGCTACATACTTTCCAGTCCGACCTCTCATTTAGCTTCTTCCCGGTCTTCCTCTCACCTAACCGCCTCTACATTTCTTAAGACTCTGCTACAGGGCAGTGGGAGAAAATATGAAGAGGAATTTCAGCATGAAGGATTCGGAATTACTTCCTGTCAACAGGGGCACTGAAATATATGTTTTTTTGATTGAACAATAAACTTAGGTAGGGCTGGTGAGATGGCTCAGTGGTCTAAAGCACCTACTTGGAACAAGCTTAGCAAAGCACAGGGACCACGGTTCAATCCCCC